TCATTCTCCTTTCATGTATCTCTTTTCATGTATTTTCATGAAATTTTCATGTATTTTCATGTTCTTGGTGGTCTTGCATCACCGGCAAATGAGCAAATGGCTGGGCCAGTTCAGAGCTCCATAGACAACTCCAGAGCCACTGGAACTATGTCTGGGGGGGAGACATCTTCCTTCCACACACGTGTCCACAGTGTATTTCCAGCACTCTGTCTTCTATGAATACTAAGCACTGATCTTTATTAGAACTTCTATTTGTGGTACTCTGTCTGTTTATGTCAAAGTCTTGCATACCAGTTCATATTGTGATTCTCCCAGTTCTAGTCCAGTGTTTCCCTGAGTCATCTGGTTGTCCTATTTACATCTAGCACAAACAGAGCTTTATGCACCTGCAGTTTACGGCTGTAGTGCTCAACTTTTTTTGTGATTACAGTTGTTAATGATAAGTAATTGTTTTGTCCAGGACCTCATTTTTTAACTCTAGTGGTGCATTAGAGTTCTAATATACTAAGATATTTATACATTTTAAGTTGTTGTCTGAGGTGTAAAAACACAAATAATGTAGAGGGCATCCCCATAGAAATTGAAAATACAAAGCCTGATATTACAATGCAGCCTAAATGCTGTGCAAAGCTCTCTTTTAATTCATACATCTCCGATCATCCAGGAGCGATTCACATTGCATTATTTTCACTTGAAGTTCAAGCATGAACAGGGCACACAATAGCACATTTTCATCCCAATCAGTGCCGAACCCGTAGCTGGCAAATTGGAGCAGCAAAACAATAATTCCCTTGATTAGCCCCTTTCTGTGTGCAGTAAGTGAACTGTTTATACTGTGGAGTACCTCAGAGAGACGAGAGCAACCAAAACAGGCTGATTAGGCACAGAGTAATTGGATAACTTCATTTCAGCAGGACGACCAAGAGCCTGATGACAGCTCCTTCCAGAGAGCACAGCCTCAGATGACACAAATGAGGAACAGGGCTGTTTGGCCTGAAAATAAGTACTGTATGTTTGATGTACTTACTTATTACTTTCGAGGGTCTTCTGTTCTATGGTACCATAACTGGTGGCACAGTTACATCATTGTTTGTGTTAATTTGTAGCCTGAGGGTAAGCTGAAGTAGAAATGAATTTTTTCCACATTTTCCCCAGCCATGCTTTACTGACTGTACTACTTGTGCTGCCTCAAATGAGCACTTCAAAACTGAATCCAAAATTGATTGTATTAACATGTTGTTATAATCTTTCACAGTAGCATCACTTTGTGTGTGTGCATGTATGTAAGAAAGGAGGATTGGAAGTGGAAAGTGGTCTCTTGGGGCACAGCAGGCAGGACTGAGCCTCTTTAAGCCTCACGCATTAACTCTCTAGAGCTGACAGAGAACTGACTCTGTCCCTCTGGAGCTGGTACAGTGAATAGAACATAGAACAGTAAACTAAAATGGGAAATAGTTCTCGCAACATTACATTTTTAAGCAAATAGAAAGGTTTTAGCCTTTCATCTCTCATCTTTTTTTCCCATCTTTTTTAATGGCTTCTACCTCCATCATTGTGTAAGGGTACAAGCAAACCTCTTTTATAGTTTTAAACTGGAACACCCAAGCTGAGCCAGGCCCCATTTAGAGAAATGCTTCAGAAGAATCTGAGTAAACATCCCTACCAAATACCCCTGGTAGTCTATTCTGTTTTCCTTGATATATATTAGAAACATGAATCATGATAAGCATGAATCATCAATAGTTTCTTAATGCAGCATTGCAGAAACTTGTTTGCCACAGTTAGTATGACAACTGTGATGAATGGTGTGAAGATCTAGCATGATGTACAGTCTGCAGTAGGTCTGTGCTGTCATCAGCAGGCTCCACTGAGGTCTCAGTTAAACTGCCTGAAGGAAAGTAAGGAACACACGAGAGGGAGAGAACAAGCACATGCCAAACATACTTGCTTATGTGTTTCAACACTGAAATGTCATTCATCTGGACATCTGCAATAAGTCAATGATAAAGTATCAATGTTACGTCAAAGCTTTACATTTAGACAATTTTCCCTTAATAGTTGTCTTAAATATTTGACTTTAAGCCACGGCAAATGCTTAAGGTATAAGCTTAAATGTTTGCCACTGTATGCTACTGGATGTGAATTTGTACATTTTATAAAGGTAAAAATAGATTTTGTGTCTGATAAATGACCATTGCGATGAAATAACAAATGCGTCTTTTTGGCAACCAGTTTAGCTTTTTAGAATCAGTGTGACTCTTGTTGTATTTCACTTGAATTAGTCAATAATGTTATATTTTATTTGAGTCCAATTAAACTTAAATCAATCTGTTAATCGGCCAGTTACCCAAACCATATTACTTTCAGATGTATCATATTATTTCATTCATGTTATTTAAATAGGCATCTGATTTGTTTGGTCTAAGAATTTAAAATGGCAGTTTTGCTCATTAAAGACTAAATGTTATTTATATTGGGAATTCGGCTAATAGAAAGTACTAAAAAAGTGTGAACTTTGCATTAAAGACACAATTCTGATCCAAAAATCGGCCAATTTGGCTGTAAAGAAATTCAAATCAAAATTAGCCTTGAAAATTCATGATTTCCATCCTTAGAATAAATACAAATACAGTATAAAATATAACAAGAATGTACCTAAAACAGTTGTTAATATCAAAGTAATCACAAACACATTCAGTGATGTTGAAGTCTGGACTCTGGAGTGGTCAGTACACTGTTCTGAGAACACCAGCAGTTTCTTTGTTTGATTTACAAATTTTCTTCCTTTTTGTCTATTTTCTCAGTAACGACTTCTTGACAGCATTTCAGACACATTGTGTTGAGTTGTCTTCTGACAGTGGAAGGATGGACAGAAACCCCAGTGATTTTTTTTCAGGTCTGCAGCAAGAGTGGAACTTTTTATTTGTATTTATCGTTTTTTTAAACACATATTAATATCTTGGTTAGAAGGATCCAATTAGAAAAGCACACGTTTGGCTCCTAACTTCTCAGTGCTCTCCAGCCATTGCAAGAATTTGTTCAATGAGCAGCACATGTGATTTAATTTAATAAAAGATTAATTATGTCAACTACTTATTGGAAGGTAAATGTGAATACTGGACTTCCTCAAGAAGAGTTTTAAAAAGATAGAAATGTTTACTGAACAATCAAAAATAGTTTTTAGATCTCACTGTTTTAAATCTCAAAAGGAAAGGTTTGAAATATGTCAGTGTTCATTAACTGTTATGTGTCTTTTTGCCTCATTAGTCAGAGTTACAGGGCTAAGACTTCCATAGAACCAGCATACATGGGCAAAGTGTATATATGTTTAAAGTGTATATATGTTCAAATTATGTGCTCATCATATACTCCTTTAATGTTTGCTATTTGCACATGCAAGCACATCTAGCTTTTGTTCACGGCTCTAGTGAATCAGACCTTAAGTGCTCCATTATCTAATCACTCCTTTGCTCTACCAACAACACACCCTGATTAGCAGAGAAAGGACTGTGAACTCTCTATACAGCATTTTCAGACACTCTAGCACTTATTCAGTTAGTCTACTGCATAAAATTCACATTAAGAATATAGTGGTACAATAAGGTGATAGAATGTGCATGGGTTATGATACATTGTTTAGTCCTAACAACAAATTACAGTACTGTGGAAAAATCCACCTTTCATATATTTAATTTCCAATCAAAATGGCCATTAAGCTATTCATTTCTCAGCATCAGGAAAAAAAGCAGAAACATATATTTAACAGAAAATTATGCAGAAAGCTCAACAACAAATATCAAAATTTTCCATATTTAGTATTTCTCCCAGCTTCCATTTTTTCAGGAAACTTGCTCTCAGTTTTTCAAAGATTTTTTCCCACACCTCTTAGATGTCATTGCATTTTCTGCTTCTCACTATCCAGGTAACCCCAAACACATTCAGTAATGTTGAGATCTGGACTTTGGGGCGGCCAGTCCATTGTTCTGAGAAGGCCAGCAGCTTCTTTGTTTGATTTAACATATTGGATTAAAAAAATTAAGAAAAAGCAAAAAGAAAATGTGGTCTGTGCTAAAGTTATAACACCTTTCATATTTTTATATTGTATGTTTTAGTTTTTCCAAAATGTTAAACTGCACACCAAAGAGAAATTGTGCACTAAAATTAGCAGACAAGTTCCATATTTAACTGTGTTCCCTGTAGAGGATGTGTTAAATTATATTCACATAGAAATTCAACAAAACATGTCACATTCAAGGGTGTTCAAATTTAGCACACGACTGTAAGGTTGGTCTCTGATTTTTTTAGGTCTTTGTCAGCTCTTCAGTATTATGCTTTTGGAAAGGTTTGAAACGTACTGTTTTGTTGATGAATCTGAGATCTGTATAGGAGAGAGGAACAATAAAAGGTAAAGCTACTGTTCAAAAACAGTACAAACATAGCAAGTGCTACTTGTAGAGAAATAAATAAACAACTATTGAATGTACTTTATGGAGTGGGGTTCAAAAGCTTGAGAAAAAGTGAATATCTGTTTTATTGCAACATGGTTATAGGCACAAAATCTCTCAACACGTTTCAATGTGAGCCTTCAGGGAGAGCAACCTTGTTGAAGGCTTACACCAAAACACATTGAGAGATATTGCGTCCATAGCCATGTTGGAAAATAAGTGGAAGTATTGTATTTGGTTTAAACTGCATTATAGCTGCTGCTTCTCTGATTGATTTTCAAAGCACTTTACCACCCTTTTCCTTTTTCTGTTTATGCAGTGCAACATTTACAGTATATAGCACTTGTTTGTGTGGGTGTTCGCACCTGCGAATCTGTTTCCACAATCTAGTTGCTGTGTGTATGTGTGTGTGTGTGTGTGTGTGTGTGTTTTTAAGACCCTATATTTGATTTTTCTGGCTTGTGTATGTGTCCTCTGCACATAGACTGCACTACATTTGACGGCATGGCTCTGGGTAATTGTAGTAATTGTAAGTCTGTGTGTGTTTATTTGCAGGTGTGAGTTTCAGAGGGGTGATGGTTGCAGTGTGTGAGTCTGAAGGGTGAGGGGGTGATCGCCTGGATCATCAGTACAGACACACGCACACGCTCTGTGACGTCCAGGAGGGGCGTCGCTGAGAAACTCCATCCAATCGATGTCCCAGCATGCTTTGCTCTCCACACCCTCGCAGCATGCCTGAAATCACAGCCCCCCTGCACTGCTCCAACCTGATAAATGTATGTATTCTTTCTCCCCTCCACTTCCTCCTCTCCTCCTGTCCTTCTCTACCCCTGCACCCCCTCCCCAGCCCCCCAGCCCATTTCTCTTCTTTTTCTGCAGAGATTGAAAGTGCTGGTGGGTCAGGGGGTTTTCTGCTGCAGAAATCATTAATAGAGAGATACTTATTCAGTGGCTGAACCTGGGTCACCGCACCACGCTAATGAAAGTGTTTCCACCAGCGCCTTTTCATCTGAAGTAATACTCAAATCATAGCAGCGTTTGTGCTCAGTGCACCCACCACACCGCATGGCATTGTGGGAAAGGGCTATATAGTGGTTGACCCACAATTCCACATTAGATATTAATACAGTAAATGTTTGGATTGTTCTTGGCTGAGATGTGCTTATGTGCACTTGCGTGTCCTCTTTCTTTCTTTCTTTCTTTCTTGTCTTCTTTCTTTCACTACTCTTATGCTGTATAAAAAGGGCTGGTTAATGGAGACTAACATTATTATACTCAAATTAGGGATGCACCAAAATTCCAGAGACCAAAAGTTTTTGCGCAAAAATGGCCAAACATTGAAAGAATTTTGACTGAAAAAACAAAGATTAAATAGGCTTACAACGAGATGTCAAAAAAGACTTTACAGATAATTGTAATGGTCATGAAATTGAGAACGTTGTGATTAACAATTGCTGTTTATTCATGTTCCACAAAGCTGAAGTTAGCTTCTGCTCACCAGTTTCTTTTTCAAATTCCATTCCATTCCACTGGTACAATAGAGAAAATAAATAAAAGTCTGGCGAATACGAAGCTTCAGCTTCGCTCACTTTCCTGTGCTGGTCAGAACAGATGCATTCAAACAGCTTGAGCGGCAGATGATCAGCACTGAAAATGTCGGCAATGTGGATCTATTCCAAGGTTTCTACGAAGGACATGAGACAAGAGATTTGTAATCACTGTTCATTCTAAAACAGGGTACTACGGCCAAGAACTTCTCCACGACAGGAAAACATGACATCATGCACGAAACAAAGAATGCCAATGCTATTTGTGGACACAGTTTTTGAAATTATGGAAAAATGTCAGTTCCAAAGTATAAATTACAACTTAAATAACAGTGGAATTTATTGCCTCAGATGAACAACTGTCAAGAGTCTTTGATTTCAGTGACACCCACTGTAGCCTCCAAACTGTAATAATTTTAGTAAGTTTATTTCATGTAAACTCTTTATTTATTGCCAGTTTTTTCAGTTTCAGTTTTTGTCCCAGTGTGTCCTGAATTTCGGTTCTGGCCAAAAAAATTTTTTTCAGAGCATCCCTAATCCAAATGTATGTGCCACTGCTGCAGCAACATAACAACATCGTGAAGGTAATGAAGCAGTAAAGGGCTTCTGCTGGTGTAGTGCTTGTGTTCAGACACTCTTTTAAATGCAGAGATAAAAACCCCCAGCCTGTGTTGGGTCGTGTGTCGGCCATGTTGAGGGCAGCGTCTGCTGTGACCCCGTTTGAAGACGGCAGCAGAAAGCGTGTGTGAGTGAGGGGGGGTTGGGGGTGGGGGTGCTAATCCTGCTTTTCAGCCACCCCATTTCAGGCTGGGCACACGCAGACCCTGACCGCTCATTATCCTAACAAGAAGGGCCATTTCACCTGCGACTGGGGGCCCTGCATGGCCCCTGTTAGTGTAATCTTCCTCTCTCCCTCACACACACACACACACACACACACACACACACTCACACACACACACATGCGCACACACACAAACTCCGCCAGACCCGCCACCATTCAGGACAAGCAGGTGGCCACTGACGCACATAATTGCTGACAATTTGAGGCAATGAATAAAAATGATCTACATTACTTCTTGCCGAATGTTGTATGTGCTTGGTGCCAAGAGAAATCTATGGAAGGGCCTCTTTAGATGCTGAAGAAAAGGGCCTATCAAAGGCAGTTCAGGAGGAAAAGGGGGGGGGAGTAGGAATGATTAATTTCTTAAAGAGTGAAAGAGAGATTTAGTACATTCAGCTGACTGGCATCGCAGAAGGAATGAAAAGGCTGCAACAGAGAACATCTTTCATACTGTTTCCTCTATATAATCTTCGTACTGTATGTATTCCTGCCTCTATAGCCTTTCCACTGCTTTCTTTAACGCTTGGTGGATTTGTCAATAGTTACTAATCTAGTTTGAGTTCAGCAGTGATAATCTGAGTGTATTCAACTTATATTTGCCAAATTTCAGCAACTTTTCCTACTGGACAGGTGTACGCTCTACCTCTATAATTAATTTATCGGTGTGTGCTCTATGTGTGTTTTGCATCAGCCAAGCCCTCTGTCAGGTTAATAGTTGAGATGATTGAAAAGTGTGACGTGCCTGTGGCATAGGAGCTGATTGTGTCCGATGAGGCGTGAGCAGATTCAGTAATTGCTGACCTGAATCTGCTGATAATGCATTCACAAGCATTTATTATAAGACATCCAATTAGGGCACAATACGCCGTTCCTGCATTCAGAGTCAAATTAGAGGATATTTTTATTGGTCACTCCGGTCTGTTAGAGATAACATGGAGAGAGAAATAAAGAAAACAAAGAAATGCTTGTTGGGGAGCCGAGAGATGGAGGCTTGGTCCTTGACAAACAAAACAAAACAAAAAAAATCTTAAAACCCCCTAAAGTCTTTCTGCTTGCATGTTGTGTGTGCATGTGTTTGTTAGCCTGCGTGTGTGTGCTTGACCCTGGTGAAGCCGTGTGTCTTTTATTAACACCTGCCCAGCGGAGCGGTGCTGTGTGGTGTCGGCTGGCTGATGAGGCTGAGCTGGCTCGGGTTCAGCCTGTGCCACCGTCGGTTTGCTGTTTCCATTTCACACATGATTAATCTCTCTAGAGAGAGAGGGAGAGAGAGTGAGAGAGAGAGCAAAAGAAGAGACAGAGAGTGTGCAATGAGAATGGGAGGAGAGAGAGAGACAGTGAGACAGAAGTAGTGAGAGAGAGAGAGAGGGTGGCCCGTGTTCGGCCTGCGTGGCTAAAAGGCCTTTAGAATTCCTGCAGAGAGGGCTGAGGGGCGAGTGAATGCAGCCGGCCGGGGGTCACTGAGCCTTTGTGTAATTGAGGCAGTGGCAGCCTCCCTTTCCTCTTCCTTTCAAAAGGAGCGAGGGATTGTGAAGTGCAGGGAAGGGCTGAGGGAGAAGGAGAGGATGGAGGAGGGGAAGGAGGGAGGGAGAGGGCTGTTTCAGGGGGCTGGAGAAGGGCTCCCTTTTTTTCCTTCTTTTTTTACGAAGGGGGAGGTTAAGTTGACAGGAACAAAAAGAATGTGTTCCGCTAATTTCTGCAGAGCTGCATCAACAATAATAGGCTCAATTTCTTTATTGCAAATTTTATAACTGGTTCCCTCCCCTGTTTCCCACCCATTCTCACTTCCAGAGCCTTTCATGGCTCACATACACCTGTGGTCTGAAGCCTCAAAACCCCCAGCAACCCAGTGCCAAACGTTCATCGGGAAAAAGGCCCGAGAGCCGCTCCTGTGAGAGCGTTAATTAATACCTTACTGTAGCATATAGTCTGTGTGACAGTACACTGCGGCGAAACAGAGGGGAACCGAAGCTTGAACAATTCCCTTCATTCCTACTTAATCCTTTTATTCAAAGCCTCTTATTCAAACCAGGTTAACATGCATAGAGAGTCAATAGATGTGTTGGATGCAGAGAATTATGCTCTTGCGATGAGGCCTCTGGATCTGTATAAAGGCAAGTGTATGTGTGTGTGGGGGTGCTGTCTGCATCTCTCTCTGTAGGCATGTGTGCTCTCATTCTTATGTACACATGTGTGCATGTGTGCATGCTGTTCGTGTGCATGCATTTGTATGTGTATGTGAGCATGTGTGTCATTCCTGTCATACCCATGGCGCCTGTTCACTGTAAGCAGCAGGGTGAGCAGCATTGTTCAGCGCTGCATCAGCATGCCGTGCATTTAGGAAATAATTACCCAGCGTCCTGCTGTTTTTATACTCTGTTTCATCTTCTTTAATGGCTGCTTCTTCATTCGCCTCTAATCCCAAACAGGACGTAATATGCAGAATCAAGCACCGGCCTTCGGATGAAAAGAAACATGTCCGCCACTGTCCCCATCGGAATGGAAAGGAGGTAGGCCTTTGATCTTCCACTCAAAAGTATTAATGTTCTGCATCGGGCCCGCTGTTTCATCTGCGCTTAAAGTCAAAATGTCCGGTTTGGTGCGGAGCCTCAGCTATGCAAATCACAGGCCCAAACACATGCTGTGTTTTTTTTGGGTGATGGGGTGGGGTGGGGTTGAGGGGGAGATATTTTCTATAATATTTTTCAGCAAACTAATGACATCTGTGTGGGTTGATATTGATCTGAGCGCTTTATAGGCACTCCCCGCAGAGCCAGGACGCACTTTCATTTGGCTCGGCCTTGCTTTCTCTCCCAGCGTGCCCCTCAAAGCAGAGAGAGGGGAAGCTCTGAGCTCCTCACTTTTGAAAACAGCTCTTCTCTCTGCTTGCCACTGAGCAAAGTGACACACAGAAAAAACACACCTAGCCACATTGCTTACTCACGCTTAGCTCAGGTGCCTCACCTCAACTCATAAAAAAACAGAACTTGCAAGTTTGCTCATGTTACATCTGAACTCACACTTTGTTTACACCTAGACTCGTATCATCACTGTCAGGAAAAAATCTTGTATCTCACTGTGTTGTTTTTTTTTTTTTTGAAAATGCTTGTGTGAAGATTTCATGATGAATGGACCAATAGAGATGGTTCAGAATTACTTGAAATACACTGACTTACATTAATGATTAAGGGCCCTAAAACTACATTTTTCTTGTGTTTTCATTTTTTAAAAACCTTTAACATTTTTGTGGTTTTATGTGCTAAAAATGCTGATAATTCATGACCTCTTTTTATCCCTTAAAATCAGACAGCCCTCCCTCTCCCCCTGTCACTCAGTTCAGTGTTAGCTGACACAACAGAATTGGCAGTTAATGTTCTTCTCCAAGCTAGTTCAGCTCCAATGATGTTGTGTTAGCAGCAGTTTGAAAAGATGCAGTGGCTGGCTTTACATAACTTGGAAGAAGCGTGTGCTAGCCTTCACCCTCCTAGCACTGGTGCTATCATATGAGACCTAGCTAGTGAATGGAATTGAAAGGACCAACTTGGGAAGAAAATTGGAAAAAAACATAAACGTTCCACAACTCTGAGCGGCATGGTGACAGTGTTACCGGCGAAAATGGATGATTATTAGAGGAGAGCTTTAGCATTGCATATTGTTTGTTTAAGTGGAAAAAAGCAGGATGACGCTCTGTACTCTTTTATTTTTTGTTGTATAATACTGGGTTCATCTAGAATTCAACAATGAGACGTTTAGCATCCATGGTCCCCAAAAAAATAAACATCCAGGTTTTTTCACCTCTGTGGTCGACAACAAAAGTTGAGAGAATTCTTGATGGAACGTTACGCTGACCATTGCAGTCTGCTGAACTTTCTGTTTTCTGCAGAATTTTCTGTCACAGCTCCATTATAAACAATAGAAGTTTCCAGTATCCAGTTTGCCGTCAACTGCCTACCGCCAACATGTGAATGCAACATTAGAACTTGAATGTGCATGGGCAAGGCTAAACTGCTGTAGGCTGAATAGGTGGATATATGTAAATGAGTTCGTTCTCATGACATTACAGAAACAATGCATTCGAAACAGTCTGTTTTTGCAGCTTAGTTGCCTTATACGAACTGTGACTGGGGAGTGAATTTTGAAATTTGAACAATGTTTGCCTATTGCTTCAAATTCAAACTTAGTTTCAGAAAAATGAGGGAAATGTTATCCATGATATGGGCCCTTTAAGAATGTTTTTCATTCACCTGTAAAGTTACCATCTTGGAGATACAAAATTTTGTTCCGACAGTGACGTTAAACTTATATACAGTAGTTAAGTAGTGTCTTTTTGTCACTTTCATTCTATGGAATAGGTTGTTTTGGCCTCTACTTTCATCAACAAAGCTTCACTTTGCAGACTGGGAACTGTACCATATAATGTTTGTATGTAGGATTTCCCTTCTGTACTGGTCTTATGGGTGATTCACTCTGAGCCAGCATTGCCCCAATACTCTGCACTTCATTACAGCTCCTCAGCCACATGGTTCCTATTCCCCATTAAAATATCTAATTTTCTTACGATATCAAAGACCATGAGAAACGCTTTAAATTCCAAAAAATAAACATTCATAGACTGGAAGCCAACATGCTAACTAATATCACATGGCAAACACCAATAAATCATAAGAAATGTCCTGTCTGAGTATTATGATGGCTATGAATGTTTTCTCTTAATCGTTGGTTTTGTCTGTGTGTTTGAATTCCCCCTCTGTGCAGATGTTTTCTGGTGTTTGCAAAATATTTGAGCATTATGTCACTTTGATCTGTTTGAATTCTCATCCAATATCTGTGTGACTGGGTCTCAGCTCTAAATGCTTGTGGGAGACCAACTGGCTTCTAGACTTTTGTGTGTTGTGCATTGTGTAGTCATTATGAGTGCATTGCAGGCTTGGTTCTTAGTGTGTCTTTTTTTCTTCACAGGTATTGGACACTGTGCAGAAAACTAATAAAAAGCCTTATATGGACTATTCTAATTTTTAATTAGTTCAAACTGTAGTGCCACAGTAAACTATATAAAAAACAGTTAACTATTCAGGCCTTAGATATTTACGAGTTTACTTTATTATGATTTTATGTGTGTACAGCTGTTCAAAGCTGTGTCTGCAAGTCATGTACTGGCTAGCGTTTTTGAGTTCTGCCCAAAACTAGCTAAAATTGTCACTACCGAAACATTTGGTACAGTTTTGGTAGTGTTATGATTGTTTTGGTAGTTACAAAATGCAATATTCAATCATTCGTTAATAAAATAGACACAAGTAAGACATGAGGTCACTCAAAGCAAAAGGATTTTAGTTTAAAGTCCAAGTCAATAAAGGTCCAAAATGGATTTTGCACTCTGGCTTTGAGCCAGTTCAGTAGAATGATCCACATGCAAGCTCAGATTAGGAAGAGTTAAATGTCTCCTCTTAGTTTGCAGCTGCAGCGTGTGGTTTGTGCATAACTCTCCCATCAACTGCCATTCATGATGTCTATAATATACTTATAACTATGTACCTGCCTGTGATTGGCTCATCTGTGTCTTATCACTGGCAGGAAACGACCTCACCTCCTTAAGGAATGACTTCATACGGAATTATGTGCCGCCACAGTGTCTCCCAGTTTTACTGCGTCTTCCCAGTGTAAACGGTCCAGTTTACCCCAGTGTCACCAACTCACAGACTCACATTCACACTGGCCTGAGGGCACTGACCCTTTTCAAACGAGCTTGAAACTGGAAGGGTTAGGACACAGCACGGGCGGAGGGGGGTTCTGAAAGAAACAGGTAGGCCAAACAGATGCAGATATACTGTATACAGATATAACAATGTACATCAGCATCAGATGTGAAAAGCATGTTTATTTCATCACCCGTACTTGTGAAGTGTTGCTTGGCCTACTGCCCTGCTCTTTTGTGTTTACGAGTTAAACAGCTTGTTTTTCTGGCTGGCAGCGGTGTTTGAATGAAGGAAGTTGTTTCCGTATGACTCCTTACACCATTCCTCACAGCCTCTCTGTCTCTGTCAGCCACCGGAATAAATCGGGTGATTCATGACTGCTAGATCATCAGTCACCCGACCAAAAGGCTTTTTCTGCATATAGCGTGCATGTGTGTGTTTGTGTGTGCGTGCTTCAAGACGTAGAGCATGCAATAAATCTCTTCTTTTAGCATTGGGAGCGTGTGAGTGCGTCTGGAAGCCGGAGTGGCCCGAGGCTCCGCTCACTGGAACAATGCAAAGATCAAAGCCCTGAGGACTGACAGGTGATGAGTGGCTTCCCCTGGCCGGAGCACCACAGCCAGGCTCACACCTGTACCAGGTGATTACAGGTAGATCTGCCTGCCTCTAATTGGACAATAAATGCAGCTCTCAGCCAGCTAATGGCAGCAGTCTGCCTCAGCGACGCCACGCTGCCATTTGGCCGTCGCCAGCCCTACCTGAGTCTCTCTCTCTTTTTCTCTCACAGCTGAGATGATGACATAGTCAAGGTCTATTCAGAGCAAACAACAAGACAAATTACAATCCAAGCCTTTAATGAGAGTCACAGAGAGGAGAGAAGCAGAGAGGGAAATAGAGTCTCCTGTACTGCTCTGCTGACACTTACTGAATGGAAGATTTCTCTTTGTTTATTTATGTTTTGTCATTACTTAACCTCTACACACTTCTACACGCTTAACTCAGTTTTGCAACTGAGGCTCACACTAAGAGGGAATTCACAGATTCATGGGTTTAATCAGTGGACTGTGTAAAGAAACTGTAATATTTTTTAACCTCTTTAAGCCTAGAATTATTATTCAAGTGAGGAACTGAAATGTTTTTGATTGCATCCCTTCATTATGTATCATCACCGTCAGCAAAAAAAACAAAACAAAACAAAACAAACTTGGATCTCCATTTTTTTACTTAATTAGAAAATTTCATCATGAGTGGACCAACAGAAATGATCCAGTATTGTTTGGAATAAAATTTTGTTACATTTACATACACAAAGAGTGTTTTCCTGTTCCTGTGAAGTTTTATGTTTGTCAATAATTGTTTTCCTGTTCTTTTAAAGTTGTATTCTTAGCCATGTGGCTGTCAGCGCAATACAGCAAATCAGTCAAACTACGCGTTACTGCCATGATCACCACTGAAAACAACCCATTCCAAATTCATTGATGTCACAAAAAACAATATATTTGCATATATACACCCCTTGAGTTTGCACGAAGAGGTGGATATATGTTTCATGCTGAAGGTATAAGAAGTGTTTCAACCCAGACAGCAACTTTTTCAATCAAGCACAAAACAGGGCAGCCAATCACAATAGAGGTCTTTTACATATGCCAGTCTTGAAGACACAAAAACAAAAACGGCCTGTTTAATTCTTTAAAGGCTTAAACAGAGATTCAATGTGAAAAAAGAATGAATTATGACTGTGTTTTTGGCATATGAAACCACAACCATCATAAGTGAGTCCAGGAGAAAAAAATACAAAAAATGTAGAATATAGGCCCCTTCAACATATGAAAGTCCTTTCAGTGCTTGCCGGCTAAAGGCTAGCTATCACACACCTCCTGCAATGTGCATGAAGCCCGAAACCAGAAAAAGGTGTCACAAAAGGTTCTTTGAGTGAAGCTGAAGAAGAACTACTTTGCTTACATGACAAACCATTTTTTAAGAGAGTTGTGAGTATGATGAACATTTTAAAGGTTTAAAGAACCTACATACGTTGTAAAGGTTCTATACCAATGTAAGGATTCTTCCAATAGCCTTTGCATTATGTGGAAGTTCTTTAAACTCTGGAAACGTTCTTTACACTCACAAATCTTATTTACAAAATGGTTTTGTAAAAGAGGAGAACCATTTTTGGTATTTTTATTTTTAAGAGCATAGATGTCTTATTTGCTCTCAGTTCTGTGTAATCATGTAGATGCCTGACAGTCTTCTACATCATATAGTGCCATGACAGAGACGGACCCTGACACACGTCCTTTATGATGACACAGCCCATGACATGCTGAAAGACCTCATGCTGTAACAGGCGCATGGCGCTGCTAAAACTAGAACCTGAATCCCAGTATGCTGAGTTCACATCTGTGGTACAAGGTACATATGACTTTCCTGTGGACTAATGACTAATGATCCAATGATATTTTCAGTGTTGAAACGTTATTGCTTTTATTATTATTATTTTTATTTATATGCAGAATTGTGAAATATACTCTGAAATTTAATTTTCATAATAAAAAAATCAATGTCTACAAAAATGCTTTGTTGTACAATTGCTCATTTATTTCATTAACATGTGATGTAAAACATAGTATACACAATTACTTACTATACCGCTGTCACAGAAATCCTTTCTGTGGGCTTTTTTCTGTGCATGAATGTTGTATACAGGCTGATTGGTCTCTGTGTATAAGCATGGGAAATGAGGTTATTTGAATTGCTCTCCAGCTGAAGATGCTTCCCAGCCTCTGTGTCTCTGGAGGCTTGTACAGAGTGAGAGGTGCTGAAGGGAAGTCAGGGCTTTGGCCTCTAAACCACAGTGCATGTCCTGGAGAGCAGAAACCACTCACAGCTCCAAACATTCACTAGTGCATCACTTTAACCACTGCACACCCCACTGACCCACGCTCCAATGAGGAAGCACACAGACACATACACATTCATTAATGCAGGGATCAGAGCACCAATACAGCTGACTTTCATCCACATTTTCACTGCTGGAGACACTCCGGTCCTTTGTGTGTGCGCGCATGTGTGACGGTGGTACAGTAGAGTGTATGTGTGTGAGAATGTGTACATGTGCATGTTTGAAGTCTGTTGGGGTGGCGACTGGATGCTCGTTTGGATGTTAGTGTAATTGCGGTGGAGAGATCAAAGGCTGGCAGGACGAGTGATGTTTCAGAGGAGGCTTTAACTGTTGCTCTCTCTCTCTCTCTCTCTCACCCTCCAGCCACTGGCTGCCCCCTGCATATCCTTGCTTGTAAAAAATGATTAAGGCCATGTTTGTGATGCATTTACGGCATTGCGTGATAGAGAATAGCATCTAATGCCGCCTGCCCCTGAGTTCCTGTCCTGCTGCATGGCCTTACGCAAATTACCTATGTCTCAATTTGTGTTCCAGAATGTCATCTCTCTCAGGTTAATCACACTACACTAAACAGTCATCTCTGCCCTCACTGGCTTAATGTATTTATTTATTCATTTATTCACCTAATTAGCCCAACTTTTATTTTTTTACAGGGTGGTTCCATTTTCATTAGATTTATTATATTAAATATGAAGAATACAATACAGTTGCTGCTTGGAAATTTTTGCGTAAATACTAAGACCCCTGCTTTCTGGTGGGCTCCAGGGAGATAGAGGCGGTTTTATAATGTGCTCTAAAGTCAATTGGTGCCTCTTGAGTAGGTGTATTGACCTTTAAGAGAGAGGGAGGCATGACTGCACTGAGTGAGTCTAGCAGAATGCCAGAGTGCTAATGCCACTTAGCAAGCATCTTAGTAGGGTTGTGTTTGAGTGTGTGTGTGTGTGTGTATGCGTGTGCACTCATGAGGCATTGCAGACATTTGTTCTTGGTACTGTACAATGTGTCTGTCTTTGTATCATCATGTATGTAAGGTACTGTGTATGCATGTCAGTAATATGTATCTATGCGTATGTAATATTTTATACATATACATACATATACACATTACCCTTTATATGAAAAGATGTACAAGTTCTAGATAGCTTGAAGGTAGACTCACAAAACAGACTTCTTACTATTACCAGAGAATCTGGTGGATTTTGTTGCTCAACACCAAGATCCACATACTTTGACAGGGAAGGTCCATGTGACTGTCACATAAAATAACCAACCACATGCTGTAGTTTTAGTGGGAGATGGAAAAATACACAGAAACTGCACTGAAAGTATGGATACTGTGTCAAAAGTGTGGAGCAAAAAATGGACTTGAGTGAAAGTCAAAACATATCTATATTCAGACATGCTCAATTATATAAAAGTAAGAGGTAATTTTTAATTTTTTTAACAAACAAAAATTAAGAAGGCACGCTTTTTTAATTTAAGTAACTATAAATCTGGAGTGCTTTGTCTGAACCTTTTCAACAAATTCCTAAGTGCTCATAAAATTCAGACAGACTAAGATAAACTTGCATGCGAGTGTGGGCTGTACAGAATTTTGCACAAAGACGAAATAGTAAAGTTGTGGGCAGTTTCAATTTACTCTGATATGAATTTGATTGAATGTTTAAAAAATATCATTACAATGTGCAGGAACTACTGGCAAAGGACAAAAAATATAATTGGGACTGCCCAAAGTGTATTTTAAGTATTTATGGCAACAAAATGAGCTGTTTGAGCATAACACATTGAAGTACATGTACATTGTACAGTGCGGTTCATTATTTTGCTTATATTTTATTTTTAATTATTTGCACAAAGTTTATGAACCTTGTAACAATCATTAGGATGAAAAATAAAATATATCCAAATATGAATGATGAAAAAGTATTAAGAAATAAGCATCTGAACAAGTAAAATTTCATAGTATGAGAATTTGGCACAATGGGGGTTGAGTCAATTTGTTCTAGTAGGATAGGATAAATCTACTGTGCTAAATGAAATGTCTAAAAAGTGCTGTTATGTGCACCAGACTTATGAATGAATATTTTTCATTGGTAGTCTAAGTTAGCATCACTGGCACTTTAGAGATTTATATAGTTGCAGCCTTTTAACTAGCTAGCTAATTTATCTTGTTATTCTGGTAGCTAGCTTGCTGCATTGCAAAGTAGATACATTAGTTAATTAAGCTGAATATCAATTAGCTAGGGGACTAATCAACACAATATTGATGAGCAGGGTAACTTTAGTCAATTTCCTAGCAGTAACCTCCAAACATAGTAGATGGTAAATTCCACATTTAAAGTTAGTTTATAATTCAGCTTGTTGGCTTGTCTAACTTTCAACATACATTTTACCACTTCTTTTTTTACTAAATTGTTTGAAAATTCTAAAAGCTAATTTTATTTTAGTGGCTTGCAAGTTGTCCTCATCATCAGAGCCAAGCTAGCTCTCTAAAAAACCAGGTACAGAGTTTATGCAGGTGTTTAAAACATGGATTTTTTCACACATTCATACCAATTGGACTGCAAATAGAATGGCTAAGTAAAATGCAATTTTAAAGAAACAAGCTTTTACTTTTTAAAATGTACGTAACTCAATTTCAACTAAAATGTCAAATAGAACCTTTTAATTCTAAGATCACAAAATACCAATTTCCAAAATAATAAATGGGCATAGTGTGAAGTATGATTACCTAAGTATTTTCCACCTCTGTTTTAGCATGACAGTTTTCTAATTTGGGGCTACAACAAAAACACAACTGTTGGAAACAAAATGGTGTGTGTTTGCAGATGTGAGATTTTGTCAGTTACTCACCATTAAATGCCTCAAATAAAACTATTAAATTACTATGCTTTAAATAAACTTTAATTTATTCTAGCAGCTATATCATGCCCTGAAAGACTCGCAACATGGCAGTGTGGATAGCAAGTGAGAATTTAACTGACACAATTTCCAGAAGTTGTGGCCAGCTTAGCGTGTAATAGATATCAAACAGTCCAGCTACTGGGGGGCGCCGGGGCTGAGACTAGCTGGAAGGTTGCGCCACTACCATGAAGGAGGAGCTGGAATATCTGCACTCCTAATATG